ATAGTATATTTAAGACTTTAATATTAGTCTTAAGTCTTGGGAAAGGCTTAAATAAACCATACATTAAACATTAGGTCTTGGTATAATAAACCATATATCAAAAGTACTAACACATTAAAGGGATTGAAGGACACTTAAGCCTTTTAAAACCCAACGTGTGAATACATTTCTGACTGTTAAATATCAATGAAAATCATTTCTCTTTGCAATAAAGTGTTGATGATTTTCGTGGAAACTTTTAACGCTTACCATAGCACGTGGGCAATCCTTGTTACCATAAAAATTCCCCATTTAAGCCCGTGGCACTCTCTCTCACTCTGAGATGTCCTTCAAGAGTCACTCAATGGATATATATTTATCTAAGAGATACTTCTTAATGGATCCTAGAACTCGGCAGGCTTTTAACCTTAGGGGAGAAAAACCCATTATGACTCAATTTGTCATTTATGGACTATCGTTAAGGATATTCAAGGACCTGTTAGGGCCTTCGCTTGGCCTTGAGGCCCACATGAAAAGGTTTTATTATCAGCGCACGCCTGGAATTCGCCTCTATGGATTACGATTCTGCGCAAGCGCGGCGCGTGTTAAACCCAAAGACAAAAGGAAAAAACACGAGCAAGTCATTATCCCGCAGGACCTCAATTATTACTCAAGGTTGCTGCGTCCTCGGTGCGTTCCCGGTGCATTGTGCAATTAGACCTTGACTTGACTCCGAAGGACATCCGGAGGACAACCCATTCGGGCTGAGCCGGCTAATTATGCACAAGGTCCTTGGACTTCAATGTGGACGCCCGGATCGGGGCTAATGGTCTGTGTATCCTTGGTCCGTTCGCGTGTGTGCGTCCAGAGCTGACAAAAGTCGCCATTGTTTGGCATTAATTGCACTTTCCAACTGAGTGCGCGTCCTTGTCCCAGGATAAGTCAAATTAATGTTCCGAACCGAAGGACAACTCACATTGGCATCCTCCGGGAATTGGTGTGAAAACTGACGGCGTGCGTGTGTGGTGTCGTTTCCTGGAATGTCCTTGAGCCACCAATCCCGTATCGCAGTGCAAAAAAAGTATAAAGTATATAATAATAAAGGACCCAAAAAGGGACGAGTGCCTGCTGGGAGTTAGTATTAGATAAAAATTTAATTTCGCCCTCCGTGCGTGTTTTCAATGCAGCATGTCCTTGGTGCGAACTGTCAATATCCCAATCCGGCACATTCTCTATACCCGGGTTGTTGTAAAAATGCAATTATGATTGTATTATGGTCGCCTTTGTGTTTACCCTAAACACTCGTCCTTTGTCCGTTTTGTTTGTGCATGCATCCCAACATAAGCCATTCCATTCCGACCCGCATCCTTGCTCACATACAAGAGATAGATCCTGCATCTAGTATCTCTGGGCAATCTGGTCTGCAGCAGCTCTGCAGTTGTCATCCAACATCCACACACCGATACTCGATGTGCTGGTCTGATGGCTAATAAATTATCCACCTATTATCCTGGCCAAAAGCAAATTTCTCCTTTGTCCCAGAAATTGGCTGTGTGTGTGGCTTGTTAACGTACCTAACCTGCATCCTTGATGACTTCTACGATTTCTCCCCAACCCCCACCCAGTTCCAGGTGCGAAAATCACCTTTTGCAGCTAGGTGGCTTTGGGAAATGATTTCAATGGATTGCAATGACTTTGGAATTTATCAAAGGTTTAATTTATACGGGGTTATAGAGGGCTATAAATGTTTATTAAATTATATTCGACCAAAGGAAGTACATTCCTAAGAATATACTATAAAGTGTCAATACATATTATAAATACATGGGACACTGGCTAGCTCTTCTGTAAAACCTGTTTTGTTAGAGCTCAAAAGCCAATTTGATATATAAATTTATAATCCCTTTAAAATTGAATACTCCCTTAATAAATTTCAAGTGCAAACACAATCTAAAATAATCAAATCATCGCTCTGATAATCTTCCACAAATGTTTGCATTTCACTTTATTTATCTTACATCTTGACTCCCATTTAACTCGGGACTACTTATCCTTATGTCCTCTATTCAAGTCCCCTTTTTCCTGATTACATCAGATGTTTCGACTTGCACAAAACCCGAACCCTTCTGGTTAACCACTGTACGCTGAATGCAACCACATTTTTGCCGGGAAACACCTACCAAAAACAAAACTGACCTGCAGTATTGCACCCTCTAAAGCAAACAACAAAATAATAAAAAGCCCGATACATCGATATAGTGATACGGGGACACATATCCATGCTGGTTCACCCCTCTGTACTGTACAAACAAACTCAACCCAGGAACTATATATATGGGTTGCTATTTGCCACCCTCGGAAGCCCACTCGACTGCACTTGAACTGCGTGCAGCATATGTAGTTGATGCTTTTTTTTACCAGACTGCAAAATGTTACTATTTTTTTTTTGTAGTTGTTGCCACCCCTCCGAGGGTTACATATAAAAATATCTAAATTATGAACTATGACAAATATTATATTACCAACACACGGACGGAACGGAACGGAAGGGAAGGGAATGTGCACACGCCTCCTTTTCTGGTGATTAATCATTGTGGTGAATTGTGAAAAAATAAAGCAAAATCGGTAGGGAAGCGGATATAGGAAAAGGATGACAAAAACGCTGCATTTTGTTGGCCATTTTGTCGTGGAGACGGCCACAATGCAGCCGGGCCGTGAACAATTTATTGCCCTAAGCCGATTACGGGTTGAGTACTCCTTCTCCGATCTGCCCCAGATCCCCGATGTCCGCATCCGTCGACACCGCTCAAAGTGGTCACATTAAGTAAGCTTAGGTCTTAGCACTATTTTTATATTCCTCCTTCCTTTATTTCACTCGCAGCTCTGGCTGAAGGGTTAAGGCAATTAAAATTGAAATCACTCGGCCAGCTTTACTTTGATTTGTTGACCGGAGCTAATTACTGATTAAGAGGGCTTAGTCGCACTCAACTGGTTGCAATGGCTCCAACTTTATTTCGAGTATTTGCTTTCAGCGAGAGCTTGTGGGTTTTATAAATGAAATAATGGGACTTTGGGGGTACTTTTATTATTTATCTAAAGTTTGCAAAGTGAAAAGAAATTAAGTTTGGATATTAAGATTTAAATCTTATATAAATCTTATATTTAAGAGTGAATGTGTAGGGACTTTATTGATACCATAAACTGCTATTATATTCGTACATAATATTTAAATTTGTAAATATTTGTTCTTATTTTTACGTAGCTTTAATTATTATTATTTAATTTATAATAAACAAGAAAGGAAAGTAACTTCGGGGAGGCGTAATTCGATCATTAGTAATCTTAAAATATATACTTTCGTTGAATCGATATTAATTGATATTTTATATGACAATTTCTTCGACAAATCAATTTTTTTAAAACTCATAACTAAGCCATAACTAGGTTAACAAATCTGCATACTAAATTAAACAAATTTAAAAAATTTTTTTTTTCTAATTTTTGCAATTTTTTTTTTTTAATTTTGGAAAATTTTTGAATTTTTTTAGAGTTAAATTTTTTGTTAGGAAAAATTTTTGAAATTTTTTTTGTGTTCGAAATGATCTAGATTTACTTAGCTCTTTATGTTGATCAAGAATATATATGCTTTATAGGGTCGGAAATGACTCCTTCGTAATTTTACAAGCTTCTGAATATAATAATAATACCCTGTTAGAGTATAAAATCTATAACTATAATACTCAAACTGTTCCACACAAAATAAACATACTTAGCCCCGTTTGCCCATCATTATACATTTCCTGCAGTAGCAAGATCCGTCTGCCCATTAGTTACCATGATTATTACAACCCATAAAGACTCTAATCCTGTTGGCAAACATTATGTGACGGATCTGAACCAATTTATGTACAGGAAATGCTGGACAAATCGAAATGGAGCTGGCTCATTGAGCCCAATGATGTCCAGCTGACATGGCAGGACAGTCCACCCCCATAAGTCATTGATAGAGATCGGTTTTTGGGAAATTCCTTTAACAAAATAATTGCAAATGCTTGAAAATTGACAGGGTCAATGTATTGCATACTTGATGCACTTGAAAATGAAAATTGAAAACTGTCCAGAGGAGTACGGATATTATAACCATCGATGGCGAGTGGAAAATTATTAGAGTGTGCAGCCGGAGAACGTAAATCAAGATTGACGCATGCGTTGAGGGAAAATGTGGAAATGGAAAATGGTTAAATGGGTTTTTCCAAAAACTGCGCAACGGCAGCTGCCACTGTTTGGCACACACCCCGAGGAAATTCCAAAAATGGGAAAGGGGAGAAACCACCCTGATCCTGGCCCTGCTCCTGCTCCTGCTCCCGTTTCTGATCCCGACTTAGGGTTGTGGCGGTCGCCTTGTCGTCGTCATTATCCTGATCGAACGCAAATGTGTTAATTCTCCCCGAAACAGACTCCGAGCATCCCATAGTTTTATCAATCTGCCTCTCGACTCCGGGGATGCATGCAACATTTGTTCACCACATGCCAGGAGTCGCACTCCTTCCTTCCCTTTTGCGACGTAATTTATGCCCCGAAAGCATCCATTATGAAAACATCAACACACACTGTGCAAATCAAGCAATTATCGTTGGAAATATTCAACATAATTATCGGGCGTTAGGGGATTTCCATAGAGCAGTTCAGAGACTCCCGGTTTGGGTTAGAAAAAAGGCACACGCTATGTGAAATTTTATTTTATTTGCTTAATGACTGTCACAGAGGGATACAGTGTGTGCTTAAATCCATTAGAGATCACTTAGGGATTTCAAAAAGTTAGCCTTATCAAGATGGGATATAAAGGAGTCACACTCTAAATAAATATTGTAGTTGGGAATTTGAAGTACTTGTGGAACGAAGAGGGGAGATTTTAGAGGCAAAATTTGACTATTATATTATTAAATAAATGTATTTCTTTTAATAATTTTCTTACTTTCTATTAAATATATTTTCCATTATTTGGTATACAATTAATTGAAGTAAAAATGTAAACAAAGCAGGCATTAAATCAATGTCTTAAAGTCTCTACATAAAATTTTGAAATACTCTTCAAATACCTAAACAACAGTCAATTATTACCTCTTAAAAATGTCTGGACGCGAGGGCGGTAAGAAAAAGCCTTTAAAAGCCCCCAAGAAGGACACCAAGGACCTAGACGAGGATGACATGGCCTTCAAGCAGAAACAAAAAGAACAGGCAAAGGCCATGGATGCGGCCAAGGCAAATGCCTCCAAAAAAGGACCTCTTGTAGGCGGTGGTATTAAGAAGTCGGGCAAGAAGTAAAATATAAATAATATGCAAGATTTCGGATACTGAAAGTATCCCAAAAATATGGGTAACTGCAAGCTATATTCTTTCCTAACTACTTATTATAGAAGAGACTTTTTCTAGCACCAACTTTCATATTTACAAAGTCAAAAACGAACTGACCACTTGCTGGCACGTTTTACAAATTAATAATTTCTTGGACTTGCCAATGCCCTTTGTTCATTTTAAAAATTCAATTTCATATTGTGTCAATTTGTTCATTTGAATGCCCTCAAAAAGGTGTGATTAATGTCCCCCTCAAAAAAAGGCGAATAAAAACAGGAGAGCATTCCTTTGAAGTTCTGCAGACGGCAGCCACGGCGGTCAAATGTCACAACACCTACACATTCGGAGGAGCAAACAAAGCGGCAGCATTTCTTTCGGGCACTCAATTTGGCACCGACAGGAGCCTGGCTTTTGTGTATGCAAAATACATGACAGTTAAATGAAAGGAAAATAACATTTTCCCACAAAAAACACAAAAACATGCACACACACACACACACACACACACACTCGAGGGCAGGAGAGGAATTTTGTGCTGATTTTGACAACTTAAGTGTGTGCCGAGTCGGAGCCCTGGAACTCGAGGACTTCTCTCTTTTGGCCACATTTTTCTTTTGGGTCTTTCGGGTCTCCTTTCCCGCTCTTAGAGTGTTTATTTAGATTTCGTGCCTGGCAATTGGCTCTGGCCACCGGAGGGTTATCCCTTGCGGATCAAAGTTGAAATTTATACACACAAATGTCACACCTCTCAAGGATTATGTATAACAAAGACGATGGCTGGCAACTGGAGCCGAGAAACAAAACAAATTTCAGCATACCTCGGCATTGACTTTACTCCGGGATATGTGTCATATCCACCTCCTTCTCAGCTTCCCAAAAAAACAAATTGTTAAAAGATTATGCTCTGTGCCAGGGAGGAGCGGAGAATTTCTTTCTTCCTTTTTCCATGGCTTCAGCCGTAGATTGTGGCCGCCTCTTTCTGGTTCTTATTTTGTTTGGCAACAGCTTTCAATGCCATGTTCCCTGGCATGTTTCTGACTTCGGGTGGTTTCTGGTCCTGACTCTGGCTGTGATGCTGCTTGTGGTGAATATTACGACATCTTACATTTTATGTGTCCTGGCCCCCATCCCTTTGGCCACGAAGTGGGCTTTATCCTGGAATAAAATACGGGATACGTTTGATATTCTTATTTTGCGTGCTCCTATTTTTAAGGTATTTGCTGGAATGTCATTTACGACACCTTAAAGCAGAGCAACATATATATATTTTATTGTTTAACTTTATATAGCATAGTTTAATATTTTCATTTAATTAGCTGAGTCTTTTGTCAACGCCAAATTTTATGCCAAACTAAACATCAAACTTTTGAAAAGAAACTGGCCTAGTTTTTGTCGCTGGAGGGGAAGCAAACTAAGCCCAAAAAGATATCCAAAAGATACACATTCCGCGCAATAGAAGAGGATGAGGCTTGAGAGTGCCAAAATTTCGTCGCTAAGCAAACGGGCAGAGAATAAAACTACCATAAAAAAAGGCGGCAGCAACTCAGTACTATGGCTAATTATGTGTATTTTAAGTTTTTGGCCAGCTCACTAGTCCTGGAAAATAAGAGGAGTTACAGGAAGAATAGCTACACTTACAAAATGTCTTTTTTCTTTATACTGGAAATGATATTTCAAGACAAATCTGGGTTCTATTAAATGTATTTTCTGTTTGTTAATTATTGAAGCTTCTTTAGATTTTATTTTAAAATGTCTTCTAGGTTTTTATTCATATTTTCTTAATCCCTATTTTTACAATATTTCTCCATGTGTCCTTTGCATACAATGCGACAACGTCAGCGTTGAGTTGCATAATTAAAAACTTTACATTCTGGTATTTAAGTTGCCGTGCGCAAAGAAAAGATACAAAATTATGTTCGCCGACGATTTTTCCTTCTTCTCGCCGAACAAATAATTGAGCAGGAGGAGCAGGAACTGAGACTGGCGAAAGGAGAAGGACAAGTTGGCTCAGAGGGGAAAAAAACATCTTTAAGTTGGCCAGGGCAAATAATAGCGAGCGGAGGCCACAAAGGACCTTTTAACGCAGCCGCCTTGTGCTCGCACAAACGCAGGAAACAGGATATTGGATCATTTAGCATTAAGGCGGCATCGCCCTCCAACCCAGCTCCAGCTTCAGTTCCAATCCCAATCCCGATCTCCTCCTCCTTCCTCGCACTCTGGCTCAATGCGAAACAAGTTAAGCGCAGCGCGAACAATAAAAAGGGAGCACAGGAACCCAGGAGCTGGCGATGGAGCTGGAGCAAGGACGAAACGCGTTACGCTTTAATAACTTGCCGCAGGATTAAGTCCTGTGCAATGAGATGATAATGCGGCGTGGCTTTCGCAGCGGGAAGTCTCCCTTCTTTTCGTAGGCGCCTTGTTTGCGGCTTGTGACTCTCCGAGGATAATGTTGATTATGCTGCTGCTGTGGCGTATCATAAAAGCGCTGCCATCGCCCCCAATCTCGGTCCCCTTTCCTGTTTTAGCCAAACAAATTATATTACAAAATGATTCTCCCGCTCCTGCAAGGCGCATTAGGATCGCAACAGAAGCCTCCTTTTGTCTGACTGGGTTATGTGCCTCCTTTGGCCGGGTTCCACATCACCGCAAATTTATTGGCAAAAGGAATTTCGGTATGGGATATGTTATGATGGAGTTTGTAAGGCATATTATTAGTTGTTTCTATAGGTGTTTTTGAACAGGATTTTGTTTAGAAAGTATATCCTTGATAGGAACATTTTAGAAACTACATTAACCAAAGTTAGTTCTTATTTCTTTTTATTTATAATTTGACTCACAATCTTCTATGATTTTATTACACATTTTTCCTAAATTTTGAATCTCTGTTTCGACCAAATCGCCAGGCTGAAGGAAAGGGAACGAATCGGAATGGGCAGCCGATCCTGCGGGTGTGCCCGTGAGGATAATGTCACCTGGACACAGGGTCATATAGTGAGACAAACGATGGATGAGAGCATCAACCTTAAAGATCATATTGCTGGTGTGACCAGATTGACGCTCCTCCCCATTGACGAGCGTTTTAATCCACAGATTGTTCACATCAGGGACATGACACCGATGAACGATGATGGGTCCGAGTGGCAGGAAGCTGTCAATGCTCCGACCACCGAGCAGGGCATTCCAGTCACGAGCCACAATATCCTGAACGACCATGTAGCCAAAGACCTTATTAAGCGCCTCCTTGGGCGTCACCTCACGGCATCGCTTCCCCATGACCACGGCCAGCTGGCAGCCATAGTCGATCCTTTTGCCTGGGGTGTGTGCCGCAATGATGTCCAATGCCCCCATTATGGAGGAGGCAAATTTCACATAGAAGGCGGGTTCCCGTGGTATCGGAATGCGTTGCTCATAGCAATTATCCCTGTAATTGCAGTCCACGCCTATGATCTTGCCGGGCGTCTCAAGAGGCGGCAGTAGCTCAGGACTCTCCGAATCCACATCCTTGGCCTTCATGTACTGCACACTGTGCAGGAGACTCTTCATGCAGTACCGCTGCCGAATGAAGTCGAGCATGCTGGGCGAGGCGCAGGTGACGTTGGACAATTCCACCATCTTGCTGCCATCCTCAGAGACCATGCCCAGACGCTTCACCTGCTCATTGGCACGCCGGTATTGAATGAATCTGCACTTGGGTTGCTCCTGATCATGGAGCTTGAGAGCTTGCATTGAGGTTGTAGGATGCTGGCTTGAGCTCTTACTCTGGGAGGTACGGGGCAGACGATGTTGCTCCGCCAATTGCATTTTATTTGCCATCAGTGGGGCCCAACACTTGGTGCCACGGCTGCGAAGGTTGGACAAGAAGGTCTTCATCCCTGGCGATGTCTGGTTGATTTTACTTAAATTTTGTAATGAATACAGTGAAATCTTCTGGAGTTGCATGTCCCTAAGTAATAGAGGGTACTTATCACTGGTATAACTTGATTTTTTGAAATTCTAGGTATTTTTACTAGTTAAAAAATTCATTAAAAACTGATTGTTATAAAAAGGAAGCTGAGATTGACTTCAATTGGGTTTTAAAAAGTTTACTTAATAGGAAGAGAAAGCTGGGTAATTATATAGAACATATTATATAGTATTTAATATTAAAGAAATACACTTATTCTCGCTTTAACCATAAAACATTTTAAATGTCGAATGGTTAATATAGCGCCTGAAATGTCACTTGCCAGCGACACATCCTTAAGGAGTGCGGTCGTGACAGGACCCCAACTCCAAAGTGTCATCAACGCGTCATGAAAATAATAAACATACATGCTCGGAATTCGCTCAGGCCTTTGTTTCTTTTCTTTTCGTTTTTCCTTTTTTTGGAGCTCCAAGCTTATTATTTCTTTTATTTACATAATGTAGCCATCCAGCCTCTTGTGTGCAATTTACATAACACGCTAACAAATTTCCCTTTGTTGATCATCTTGGGGTATATGTGGAGGATATGGTGGCATTTGGGGGCGTGGTTTATGTGTGTGCGCTTTGTCTTATTTGTTTTTATATGCCAAACATTTGGCGGCTTTATGGCGAGAAGGAGGTCATGAGGTTTGATTGGCCTGGTGTAGTTCAGGACTCTGCTTGATGGCCCAAACATAAAATTAGCCCAGAGGAGAGAGAGGGAGTGATTTGGCTTAGACTGGAAGGAGGCAGCTTCTTGCTTGGAATTTTGATTTAGAAAGAAGTACAGATGACTTTGAAATTAAATAAATAAGTGTATACCTTGGTTAACCCATATCTGTTAGATCTGTAAACCAATTCACAGAGCTCTTACCCTCCAAGTGGAAAATGGAATTTAAATAAATACTTATCGGCTGTGTGTGTTTTCTTTTCTCGGCTTTAATAATGCCATCAGAAGCATGGCATAGGTAAGCGAAAACAAAAACAGGATTTATCCATTGTGTGTCCTGGAATTGGATTAGGTCAGGGGATCGGGAGGGGTGCCATCTAGGGGATGGTTGGTTAGTTGGTGGGCTGCTGCACGCTCCACCGCACCGACTTTGGGTAAATGCAACTGCAACAGCCTTGAGAGGATGCGATTCATGGCAGGACTCACTCGGCAATTGTCCTGCCTGTACAGTGTACAGTATCTCCATCTGTATCGCTTACATGTCTGCTTGACAAGGTCCTTGTTGGCTTGTTTGCTTCTGTAGTTGTGTTTTGTGTGCGAGTTTGATTATTTGCCAGGATAACACACATCAACACACCGAGTTGAGGTTTACAGCTGGCCGGGGACACAAGCCTTGATCCTTGTTTTCATTGCGTTTTGATTGGATTTTTCTACGGCCTTCTGTTGCCTCAATTAAGCCGCAGCAGTGGCAGCAGCAGCAGCCGCAGCAATCCTGCCATTCTGCAGCAGCTCCTATTCGTGTTTTGATATTTTATTGCTGTCGCAATGTTTGTTTATTTTTGACGCCGCCATCAAACTGCACTGCGGCACAGGACCCGCCCACTGCCACCGCATCCTTTGCCCCCTTTCTTTCCAAATATATATATTTTTTTGGGTGGACCTTTTGTCGGGCTGTCAATATGTCAATTTGGCTGCCACTCTCTGGCTGCCGCTCCTTTTCATACTTTCTATGACACAAATTAAGTTGGCATTGTAGTCGTCGTCGTCCTTGTGAGTTTTGCGTTCCGCATTCGTTTTCGTTGTCGATTTCGATTTCTATTTCATGTACGTTTTCCGCCTCGATTTGATTCCATTTTGATGTCCATTCGTTTGCCATTTATCCTGCCACATTCTCCTCCCAACTTTTCTGATTTTTCCGGGCAGATCGGGATCGCTTGGTGGTGGTGGTGGTGGTTATTCGTGGCTCAATTGCGGCAACATTATATTTTTATTAAATGCAATCAGCAATTTTCGTCCTTTTGTGTCCTTTTGATGGCCTTTGATGGCCGCACAGCTTGATTAGAATTGTTTAGGCAATTAAATTCATATGTTTGATTTTCGTTTCCGATTTTTTCTGTAATTTCCACAAAGGTTTTTCCTCGTTGTTTTTTTTTCCTTTTGTTGATTGCATTGTGCGGGCTTTAAATAGTGGGTTATGGGGGTACAGTTCTAAGATATGGAACTATAAGGGATAAAAAAGTATTTTATATTAATCTACAAATCCAGAAACATTATATATTTCATATATATTTAATTTCATATTTTAAAACATTTATTTTACATCCTGTTCTGATAGTTAAAGTCTTAGTAAAGTCTGAAAACTCCTTTAAATCACTTCCTCTTAAAACAGCAATATAAATAAATTAAAACCACCAATCCTAGCTAAATGCAATATCGGAAATCCAAGAAATAAGCCACAAAACTCGTTCGATAAGAACCACACTTGGCAGGATGCAGAACTCGATTAATCTGCATTCAGAATCGTGTTTTTCTCTCGAATTCAACGGAAAACCGCGATGCCAGAGGAAGTGTGGCAGCAGCATCTGGTCACAGTTCGTGTTGTTTTAATTTTTTTGTTACCATTTTTGGTAACAAAGGCCTGGTAAATTTGCAAATAGAAAGCATTTAATTGCAAATTGTTTTTGATTTTGTTTTTATTGTATTGCTTTGTTAAGGCGACAAAAGCCAGCGACGCGGCTTAAACGGCGACTGGAGCATAAATCCTTGAGCGGTATTATTATAGTGCGGGAAATCGGGCATCTTGTGGGATCTGTGGCGGGGGGAGCGGAGGGGTACTGGCTATAATTTCCGTTTTCCGGTTGCTTCAAAAGCTGCGCAGCGCCTGCAGCTCAGATTCACTTTTTGTGCAACAACAAGGCGCAACATTTTGCGGTTTCTGGGGTGCACTTTCCCCCAAGCCTCGCCCCCTTTTGGCCAACATTGCCAGCAAGCTACCACAACGCATGCATAAATTATTATTTCCTCGTCTCGCTTGCCACTTGCTGCCAAATGTAGCTGCAACATTTCTTGTTGGTCTCGCCCGCGATGACCCTACAAAGGAAGTTGGGTATATGGAGTAGGTGATCGTATTCGGAGAGATTGGTAGAGGAAAGCTGGGGGGATTTGTTAAGGTTATAATGCTGAGAGAAGCTTTAAGGGAGCTTAAAGGTTTCTTATTAAATAATAAATAATAATAATAAATAAATAAGGAAAAAGGCAGTCTTTTGTGCTTAAAGAGTGACACATATTCTAGAACAAAAATTAGAGATACTTCATACTTTTCAAATGTTTTAAGGGGTACTCTGATATAAACTTTGGTGGAAATTATGTTTTAATATTTATATTCTTGATTGTCATTATTTAAAACATTATTCATTGTTAATAAGGTTCAAAATTACCTCTTCACTGCGTTGTGTTTTTCTTACTAAATAAACCCCTGAAAGGGTATTAAAATATGATATTAAAGAATACTACCTTATTTTGTATGACTTTCAAAAGCAGAATCTAAACTAAAGATCAATTAGGTCTTGTAGAACTTATTAAATTTAATTATAACTATAAATAACTTTAAAGAGCACCTTTAACTTCGGCTTCTTTCGATCTTTGGAAGCTGTATCTCCTCCTGTTGTTCCGTGCTGTTGCTGTTGCTGTTGCTGTTGCTGTTGCTGTTGCTGTTGCTGCTGCTGCTGTTGCTGTTGCTGCTGCTGCTGCTGCTGCTGCTGCTGCTGCTGTTGCTGCTGCTGTTGCTGCTGTTTCTCATCGGTACGTCATTGCCTCGCATGCGAATGACATTTGGAAGTGGTTTTGGTTGTCCCAGCCCCTTAAGCACCCCCTTTCCACCACGTTTGAGCCCTCCCTTTATGGTTGCCGCCTGTCTTTCTTTTGGCGCTGCAAGTGCCACGCCCACGCTGGCAACACTGAATGACTGCAAAAAAACAAAAAAAAAAGGAGAAGCAAACATATTTGAATGCTTTTGTTTTGCATTTTTATTATGAACACACACACATAAACAAAAATTCGTTTTGTGGTTTTTATCACGCACAGACACAAGCTGCTGAAACCCGCCTTCATTTCGCCTTGCACCCTTTGCCCCCTGAACCCCAAAGCCCAAACCCCCCGAAAATGGCAACAAAAACGGAGCTCTCATGGAGCAAACTGCTTTAATTGGAGCCGATGGTGTTATTTATATAAATGTTTGCCATTTCTCTTCGTTCGCCCAGTTTGCATTTCATTTTTTTGGCAGTTTAAATTGTAGGCGTCATGTGATATATTGGCCATCGCTTGCTGGATTTGAGCTTTGGCTTCGAGTCTGTGTCCGAGTGCGAGTCTCCCCTTTCTCTCTCTCTGAGGCTGACTGACCTTGTTCTGCTTGTAATTCTCCCTTTTTACGGCTTTTTGTGTGTTTGGCCGAAAGTGTTTTATGGGTTGTTTAAAGTTGAAAATATGGCTGGCAGGACATTAAAGTGTGTTTGCGATGCGGTGACCCATATGAGAGAAGTGTGGTAATATCATTCTCTGGGTTAATATGGGTTTTCGAGACACTTTTTTTGGGACACTTGCAGATAGCGTTGCTGACAGCTTGAGTGGTTTTTACCAAAGTGAATTTTTGGGAGTTCGTGGAAGGAAATATGTGGCAAATAAGGAAATGACAAAGGATTAATGTTTTTAAATACAAAATATATTTAATTTTAAAGTCATATGTGAGATATTTGAATAAAAATGAAATTAATAATCCAAAATTTCCGAATAAATTATAGATAAATAAGTTCTAAAAGGATCCGTGACTAAAAAGAACTAGATTTATGTGAATTTCCATCACCTGCCTAGGCATGGCCAATTAGGGCTTCCTCCTTGTAGGTTTCCTCCTTGGTACTCCCTATCCCAAATTGCCTGCGATGACCTCCAAGGAGGCTGGGCCAATGTCAAGGGTACCTGGGGCAGACATCTCTCATGTGCTCCCATTAGCTTCCTCCTTCAAAGGGAAATGGAAACGCAGAAGAAGCCAGCCATAAAACCGTGAAATCACATACAAAGTGCATTTAACGCGCCACATCAAAAAAATAGAAAGAAAACCTAAGAGCAAGCGGGGAAAAAACATTTTGGTTTTAATTAAAGAATAGAAACG